CTTTTGTATGTCTCCCATTTTTGTAAGGCCCCAAAAGTGTAGTAATGTGTATTTATTTTTTTCAAAACCATGGTTAGGTAATATAATTATGTTACTAGATGATATTTTGGATGTGAGTTTGATATCATGTAAACCTTATTGATGCATGGGGAGAGTAATACTAGTTTGAGGTATTATCGAGGTCATTTGATTGTGTATTATCATCTACTATTGCCGTGAATTTGGAATTTGAGCCGTGACAGGTTAAAAATGCAATTAAACAGGTTGTGATAGGTCTATTTTTAGGGGAGGTTATGCCGAATTTTTTTTTGTTTAAAAAGTATTAGTTTTGAGACGTTACACGTAGGGTGGAAGATTCCAATGTAGATTGCAGATTGCTCTTCATTGGGAGGGAAATCAACTTCACGGTGATCGATTGGATGATTTCGATCTCTCACCATGAAAAATCCATCCATAAGATGTAAACGCCTGAGAAATTTTGCAGATGTTGTTATTGGGAGAATTAGCTTTCCAATGGAGAGAAGAGAATTCTCAGAGATTATGCAGCAAAGGTGACCATTTGGTGCCCAAGCATCATGCCAAATAAAGGCTGTGGAGCCATTGCCTATTCTCTGTTCGATGAAAGGCTTGACTAAGCTTCTGAGTTGAAGAAGCCTTCTCCAACACCAAGTCCAACAGCAAGAGCACTTCTGTGGTCCCAGAAGCACTTGCCTTTGATGAGATATGCTTTCACCCATTTGATCCACATACTGTGATTGTTGTCTTCAATAATTGCCCAAATATGCCTCATGATACTAGCCTTGTTAGAATTCTCAATTTTAGCTCCAGTTGGCTGGTTATAGCTGTTTAGGTGCGGACAATTTGAACTGCACTATTAGGAATGGAGTTCACAACTCTTGGTTTATAAGTCCAGTAATGGAAGGTTTAAAAAGGACCACCAAATGCCAAGGCATGCACGATGGAATGGAAGTCTTGTCACGTTCTACACGTATTTAGGTTGACTGTTTTTGTCACATTTGCCTACTCTCAATGTCCATGTCCTTTCTAATTCATCTTTTACCCTATAACCATTTTTTGGGTCCTCTCTTACTCTCTCTCTCTCTCTCTCACACACACACACACACATACACACACACACACATTCACACAACACACTTGCCTCCACCCATATATAAATACACCGCACTATTGAAGTTTTAGTAGTCATTAGACACCAGTTATCCTATGCACCAGGTTACCATCTTTTTCAACTCTTTTGTCTTCTAAACCATTTTCAACTTTCAAATTTCTTCCCATTTCCGAATGTACCTTCTTTTATTTCCCCACTGATGACCACGACTTCAATTAAGATCTCTCTTTTTAAGTGTATCTAGGGCGAATCTTTTTGGTTGCAGAAAAAGAAATTTGAAAGGGAGAGAATGTATGCATGCATATGAATATATAACAAACATCCACATCAAAATTTGTCAAATGGATGGCTTCTCCATTATATGGATTTGATCAAAGCCATCATCTCTAAGTTACACCCATTCCATTAATTTTTCTAAATCTCATTACCGCCAAAAACCTCAGAAAAATTTGCACTCACTCAAAACATGAATGTTTATCTTATACTAGTCTTTTCTGGCATCCCCCTGGTTCTCATTCACTCATAACATCATCGAAGAGTAAATACAAGGCCTCTTGTATAGCTACCGCACGGCATATATGTTTTATATTTCTCAGGTACCAAAAGTAGAAGAGTCTGTTAATCGATTTTGTGAAGAACTTACCATTGCCTTGTTCTAATTATGTGGGATCTAAACAACAATAATTGTCCTGATAACAGTAATTTGTTCTTCTGAGTTTACAAAATGTGAGGTCTAATGACTTCAAACTGGCACTTTGACGGAAGGGTGTGACTTTTACACAAAAACATATTACTTCTGTTGTCCCACTCCATTCATATGAAATTAACGGAAGGATAATGATAATGAGATTACTTCTGTTGTGCCTAAGCACCTAATGACTCTCCTAACGGTATCCAGATTTCTAAGTCATAAGGCATTTTATTGTTGGGAGAACCAAAGCTCTGAACTTTCAGAGGAAGAGACCTATATTATTTACTAGTAAACATGGACCTACTAGGTGCAACATGCCTTCCAATGAAGCACTGACACCGACACGGGATACTGGTACAATACGACACGGACACGGCGATACGACAAATTTCAAAAAAATAGGACACAGACACGGCAAGGATACGGTAATAAAATAATAATATATATTTTTATTATAAATAAAATTTAATTTCTCTTAATTTTTAATTTACATTAATAGACATGATCCATTTAAATTATGTCCAATCCAAATTCTATTAAAACTCAAACAATAAATATGTAGTATATCTTTATATCCAATACTAGAATTTATATCACTACTAGAATAGTTTTATTGTTGTAACTAAACACACTGAAAGAGGAGATAAGATTACATGAGAATAGTTTTATTGTTGTAACCATACACACTGAAAGAGGAGATAAGATTGTAATCCTCGGTTCCCACGTTTGACTGATATTCTCTCTCCTCTAGCTAGACGCATTACTCCGTCTCTGAACTTCCATCTTCCATCTTCCATCTTCCTTCTCCTCTGCATATTCTCTAAAAATAGACAAACAAATTTTCACTCAAACAATTAAAGAGATTTTTTCTTTCATTCTGTCTTCGATTGATCCACACCAATCAGGGCATAATCATCAAGTTCTTCATCATCTCTTTGTTGATTTCCCCTCTCTCTTCCAGTTTCTCTCTCATCCACTCCATTTTTTTTTTTTTTTTTTTTATAGCTTTTGGTTTGTTGTTTTCGATCAGTCCACACAAAAAACACACACATATCTTTTCATCCTCTCTTTCTTTCAAACAACAATTTAAACTGCGGTGTCTTCCGGTGTACCAGCCGTGTCCTCTGGCGTGTCCCGGCCAAATCTTATAGCGTGTCCGACTTGAAAAAATGAATAAAAATATAAGACACCGGTAAAGGGTGTTGTGTTCGAGGCTGGAATACACCGACACTGATACGTCACCCCCACCACGCGAATCCGTGCTTCATAGATGCCTTCTAAATCCTCCTTTAGGTTCTCAACCAATGAAGCTAGAATTGTAGGAGCTAAGTATGTATAATCAAATCAAATCAAGGACATTGAAAAACCCTGACGAGTCTTTTAGAAGTGTAACATCAGCTGATGATTCCAAGAAGATTTCGGGCGCTTTGATCACTTCTGCTTAACAGCTAAGACAAATAACTATCATTCTTGAAGTCTAAGTTCGACTCGAGTTCGAGGACAACAATTTTGTTTAAATAATCAAAAATGTTAGGAGCTCAGTTTGTCCTTACCAACTCTCTCTCAATTTCGGAGAATACATTAGATAGAGTAATTTTACACTTGATGACTCTTGACTCACCGAGAGTGAATGAGAGTTATCATTCCACATTTATATGGGTCCCACTCACAATCTCGAGTGGGGAGTCATTAATTATACCATTTCCCATTAGATATTGACCTTGTTTTGATTGAGATTCCCAAAAGGGCCTTACAATGTTCATTGACATGGCACAACTGTGTATGAACTGAAACTTGTTAAAGTATCATAGAATCTTTTGACAATGTTAGGGTGTGTAATCGCAGAAAAACCCAAGAAAAGTTGCAAGTTAAAGAAATGATTTTGATAACTATGGAAACTAAACTTGTTGAAGAAGATCAGTCATTTATAGCCTTAGGCAATACAATAAAGTTTGTATTAGGGAATTTTTCCGGTAATTGTCCGGTATGTTTTTGGTGGTAGATTATGGGGTGTTCTAAGAGGCCTGATACCACCATTGCCGACAACATATATACATATTTTTATAAATATGTATATATATATATATATAAATGCTCTCTTGTACACCGGTGAGCAAGAGCCTATCAACACCATGTATAGTGACCATTGGATATTATCTAAGTGTGATGAAGGCAGTTATTAAAAAACCATAGCGATCATATCCAACCATCACTATGGATTACTTTGAAATCATTTCACTACAAAGTTTTTTGGCTTAAGAGATTGAGAAATCTATTTCATTTTAAGGATAAGGTGGATCACTTGTATTAAATTCATATTTATTCGTTAGAAATCAATGCGTGGAGATCCTTTATCGGCAACAGTGCTAAACTTCAATAATGGAGTCTTTGCAATGGTTCCATTAATTGAATTTCCTTTTGCTCAGAAGAAACTTTCATATACTTTGATGTTGATCTAGAAAGATTGTGCCCGAGGCCATCTCCACCATTTCAGGTTAATGAATTCTGGCATTTTGGGGAGTCTAGAGGTCATTTACATCTTACCGGGCGTAGAGATTATGACACCAGATTTAATGTTGACGTTTTGTGATTACTCCAAGTCGTCATTGAAGTTAGTTGATTTTGTATCATAGAAGATGATTGTGCGCGACGCGATGTCTGTGCGTAGTTTAATTCACAGAGAAGATGAAGGAGATGTGTTTTTTTGGTGCTATTTGTAGGCACCAATACGATCATCTTCTACAACATTAAGGATAACACCTTTGAGAACTGTTAAATACTTATATTTTTAAGAATGGCCACAAAACCTGTTTTTTTTGACAAGTTCAATTGCTAACAAGGCAGTGTTGTTCTAAGATATGTGTTCGTGTGATTGTGATAAATTATTCATAAAGAACTGATTTTTTAAAAAAAAATAATAAAGAACTGACTTACCAGCACAGCCATTGTACTCATTTTGTGTGTCTGTAAGATATGTGCTTGTTTTCTCCCACAAACAGACACCCAAAATGCGTACAATGGCTATGCTAGTAAGTCAATTCTTTATTAATTTTTTTTTATTTTAAAAAAACAGTTCTTTATGGATAATTTATCAAAATTACACAACCTATATGTTGTGAATTGATACACACACAGTGAGGAGGAATAAACACACACAAGAAAACATAAACCCAGAGCACAGAAAAGAAATCACGACACAAATTTTATGTTGTTCATCCAAAATCTGGGCTATGTCCATGACTCACAGTAGTTTCACTATTTCCGATGAAAGAGTACAAGGTATAGCCAACAAAGAAATAAATAGTCTGGTACTATAAGGTTTACATCAAGATTACAATAATGCCCCTTAGTACCCACATAATTTCGCCATTGGACCGAGGCACACTTTGTGACACGCCGGCGGACACTGATTTTGCTGCATCACGTACTACACCTGTCTCCGATTTGTGTCGTCCCACTCCACTAAACCAAGGGGGAAGCCCTGAGAAGTTTACTGGAAGGATAATTTCATCTTTGGGGATCGCCTAGGGGACCATTACTATATAGTGCCACAACTCTTTAAAATACCACAAAAGAGTAATCAAGCGGCTCGTGGCTGAACCCCGAACCTATCAGGCTTCACAAACCCAACACTATGTTCAATTATTGAATACTTCATTGGCTTACCTGTATTTCTCTGCAGCCCCATACTTTGTAAATATAATCAAGCAAGAATGGAAATAAAAATAAAACAAGAATGATAAAACAAACTACGCCAATGATACTGCCAGAGGACTTCTAACAAAGTGGATTCTATCAGTCCAAGCATACCACCCGAATGAATACTGATTATTGTCAATCATGTTGAGCTTCTCCCTTTCTGCTTTTATGGTTATGGTGAAGCTCTTCTTTTGGCCAACATTTTTAAAGAATAAGATAGGTGGAGAGATCTTAACCGAAAATCCAATAGGTGGTTTGACAATAGAGAGGTACATACTCTTGCCATTACCACCAACATTTGTGACAGTTCTCTTGACAGTCACTGTGCCATTGAGTTGGGAAATTGCAAGAGATGGGTAGTTGAGATTGTTTGCTGTGGGTGGCACTTTTGGACACTTAAATGATGGATCAAGCTTTGTTACTCCATTGCTGCAAAGGAACAGAAGATAGTCGGCATATGAGGCATCGTACACGAGTCCTGGATCGGCTGCCTTTGTTGGCCTCAAGTGACCTGATCCGTATTGGAAGGGATCTGCCGGGTTGCCAGATGCATCAGTCAGTGGCACACCCACATTGTTCATTAGTTGTGCTGCAAGTTCAAAATTTGCAATATTAATGAAAAATCCATAGGTCACGGTAACATAAATATTGGAGAATATAGGGGGAAATGCAGAGGGAGGACAACTATTTGAAACCATACGCTTTAATAATATGGTCAATTAGAACTAGAAGCTGATTAAAAGATACCCAATATGGGATCACAAGTGTACCTGAGGTGATAAGAGCAGATCTTATGGCAGCACTGCTCCATTTGGGGTGTATAGCTTTGAGAAGTGCAGCTGCAGCTGACACATGAGGGCAAGACATAGAAGTTCCTGAAAGAATGTTATACTTAACAATTCGGTGATCATCCTCCAACTTTGTAGGGGATGATGCTTCACTCCATGCTGCCAGTATATTTAGTCCTGGTGCCGTAATATCAGGCTGCCAAGCAATCCCAAAATTAGAAATTTGAGAAGCGATAATATGAAAGACAATTTCAAAACCTTTGTTGTTATATTAAAAATTTTGATTACTAACTATACATTTGGTGACGCTAATTACCTTGAGAATATCAGGTGTAATTGTATTTGGTCCCCTACTAGAGAAGGTAGCCATGAACGGTGCTGGTGTATGACCTATGACAGTCTTAGCTGGGAAGATACATGCCAATGGTTTGTTAGTAGAATTGATGTACTCCAAAATTTTAATTGCATTGTTATAATCCACTGCTGTTGCGGGAAGAACATGAGCGTCTACGGATAAGTCAGCTCCATTTGCAAGACTATTAACTAAGATGAATCCTACACCCCCAGCTCTTTTCACCTCCTCGCCTTTTCCAACTCGGGTCCCATTCCCTCTAAAGCACATCACAATCTTTCCTCTGGTCTTTTCAGGGGATAGAGAACCAGGAAGGCATTGCCTGCAAAAAAATGTTCAAGTTCAAGTCAACAGCCAAAATGCCATCAGAATATGTCCCAAAACAAGCATTGAAATGGCAAAAAAGAAACCCTACCCTGCTATATAATTTTTGGGCACGTCAGGGTTGACTACTGTTGGTGCTGATACTAGTGGGTACATTTTCTTCTTCATATTGTATGGAGTTACTGTTTGTCCCTGAAAATTGATCAGAGGAACAAATTGAATTTGAAACAGATAGGAGTGACAAGTTATCAAAACGAATTATCATAATTTTGTTAATGTTCACCTGAATAGTCATTCTATTTCCAAGCACAACAGGTGCTGCAAATACCCTGTCCAAACTACTAGCAGCAACTGTGATGATCCAGGGAGACGTGTTAGATAAAGTTTTCGGGGCAGGGCCATAGTTTCCAGCACTACATGATACTATGATATTATTCTTCGTGGCATGAAGGGATCCAATTGCAATAGAATCCTTGGTGTAAGGTATAGGTTCATGGGCCCCAATGGAGATGCTTAGTACATGAACTCCATCAGCAATGGCATCATCAATTGCTGCTAACATGTCTTCATCAAAGCATGTGTTCCCATTTGCTTTGCTTTCACCTGGAATTGCCCAGCAAGCTTTGTATATCGCCAGGCGCACTAGTGGTGCACCACCAGAGGCAGTTCCACGAGCAAATCCACCTAGGGCCGAGGCATTAGACACCCTTCTTCCTCCAACAATTGAAGATGTGTGAGTCCCATGGCCATCCCTGTCCCGTGGAGATAGGTAATCCAATGTGGTATTTAGAGGACCATAGAATTTTTCGTAACCTTTAACGTAGTATCGAGCTCCAATTAGTTTCCTGAAAACATAGCAACATAACTGATCAATTTCTTATCTTTATGTTATATTTTATGTCTGTTTCAGTGTAAACTATAAAAGTTTGTATGCAATGCAAGTCTCCCTAAGAAGCAAAATAATAGATATGCTGACTGAATCAATGCCCTTGATTATGCAGTCTATTTATGCACTTGATTAATAGGCTAATTGTTCTTTTAAACAGTGTCTCTAAAACGGGCTAGTTTAGTGCACGAGATATTGTTCTTTTAAGCAAATATCATATTTAAATTGATATTAGACCAACAGGCCTATGGCCTGGCATGTGTACGTCAGTACAAATTACGAAAAAAAAAAAAAAAAAAAAAAAAAAATTGATATTGGACCTTTTCATTGCTGATGGAGATAGTTCATAATTTATTAAACAGCCATAGTTCTCACAAGAGTAGGCAGGACCTTTTGAGATGATCAAACATTTGGTCCAAAAAGGAACGATCATGAACATATGAATAGTTAATACTATATGGTTCATAAATTATTGGGTTGCTACCAAAATGTTCATATAGACTAGTCAGAGATTGAGTACTGATAACAACATATATATATATATATATATATATATATAGACACACACACAGAGCATGGGAGTGATGGTAGTTCAAAAGAGGGCAATAGAAAAGGTCAAAAACAAAAACCTCGGGCCAGATCATTTCCTTGTTTCGATTGGTATGGACAAGCCTGGGATAAAAAAACAATCTACCTCGGGCCAGATCATTTCCTTGTTTCGATTGATATGGACAAGCTTGGAATATAAAAAATCTACCCATCCAACTAAGATGTATATATAAACCATATACTATAGGACAACATTCGGGCCATTACTGATGCATTATTGAAAATGACTTCTTTGATGTTTTGAAATATATCCAAAAATACTGATTAAAGTCTTGAGGACCCCTAAAGATTTTTTTATTTTTGGGTAAAATTTACCTTCTAGATTTATTATTTATTTATTAGTTATTATTTTTTAAGTTGAAGCAATTCACACATTCTGCCTCCGCCCGTTTACTTTCTAGATGTTGTTATCCCACCGTGATTATTAGAATTCAAATCAACTTTTTTCTCTTGTCAAACTATTGGTCCATGCATCATTATCATTATCATTGAAATTGAAATCATAATTTTTGTCCTACGACCCATAATGGGAACACCATAATAGTATTGGAAGAAAAGGTTTTGCCTAATGCCCCTAATTGGTACCATTTCTCATCATTTTGGAATGGAGTTACATTCTGATAATTAAATTTATACACTGAAAAGTGAAAACAAAAAAAAAAAAAAAAAAAACAAAAGCAAAAAAAGAGCCAAGTCTATTTCCTTCTCCAAAAGAAAGAAAATCTAGACTTGGGTCATAATTTCTCACCAAACACCACTGCTTAATTTCCAACAATTTTTTGTTTTTCTTCCAAAATTACAAACCTGTAATATTTTGATTCTCATAATTTTTTATTTTATTGACACACCATTGCAAGTATGTCGAGAGAATTTCTAGGCTATAGAGTACTACTATATAATCATCATTTGTTTATATAAAAGCGAAAGCACATAAAAAGCACTTTCCAAGGACTAGTAGCGAAGTGGGTCATATGTAAAGAAATTTGGTCACGGGCAGCTGTAGAATTGTTCATTTCAAGAATGAAAAACAACAATAGAACCAGAAAACATGTGACAAGCAAGTAACAAAAGTTAAAATAAAACTCACTTATTACAATGTGATGAGTTGAAACCTTGTCCACTCTGGCAGATTCCTTTCCATGATTTTGGAATGGGTCCCATTCCTTCATAGTTAAAACTCTGAGATTCCGGCCACACACCTGATCATCATCAACACATTATTATGAAACAGAGGGAGTATTTACTTTTAAACATCCGAATCCGAGAGAGTAAGTGTTTGAGGGTTCCACCATTGCAAAGTTGTGGAGTTAAAAAAAATATCAAGATGGTCCCAACCAATCAAAAAATGCCATACAATTAAAAACCGATCATTCTCATTGATTGAAATCAGGGGATCCACTTTATATAATAATTCATGGTGGAACTCAAAACCCTCTCTTTCTCTTTAGGATTCAGCTTTCCAAAAGAGCTTTTGGAGTGGGAAGAGTTTTCCAACATGCAATCATATTGCTTACAACCAGTCAGTCAAACAATACATAAAAAAAAAACCTTGTAAGAAAAAGAGAATTTAAATATATATATATATATAAAATAAAATTATAGTATAAGTTACCATTATCCATGACGCCAACTATGATGTCTTTGCCATATCTGGCTTTCAATAATATGTCTTCCTTGGAGTGCTTCAATTGTTTTCCCTCTTCCAACCCAACAAATTCCCATGACCTCGTAGTATGCAAAGTGTACTTTCTTGGGTAGCTTCTATAAACAGACACCACTTCATCCATTTCTGTTAATCCAAATATATATTCTTCACAATGAGATCGATCGAAATTAATCCGACCAAAATTAATTGTTTTAAAATTAATTGTTTTAATAGTAATAATTTGTTATAATACGTACCGGATAGTTTAGAGGCCTCATCTGGGGTGAGCATTGCGGCGAAGCCATTGATACTGTTCTTGTAACTGTAAAGAAGAGAACTCTTGGCTTCTTCCTTAGATTCTTTCACAGAGGAGAGATAAGAGTGATGAGTATCATCAATTTCTTGCAATGTTTTCTCTCCACTGTGGTGTCCAAAGTATACAACATAGACCTGGAAATTAATAACATATATAATACAAGTTTGCATTCATTAATAATAATAATCATAATAATAATAATACAAGTTTATATGAGCCTGCTATAAGGGATTAGAATTAAGATTCCAATATATAAACCAACATAAATATAATTTGTGTATCTATATATATATACACACACACACACATCTGCGTATATATGTATATGGTGTGATTTGATATATAATTAAGAAGAGTAGAAACCTGTTTTTCAACACAAGAGGCCAAGAGAGGAAGAAGAAGAAGAATAAGTAGTAGAGAGAGAACCGAAGATTTCATCGTAGTTAATGCCCTGAACTTTGGAATCTAGAGCTGATATGATATGATGGGGTGTTTGTAAGCTATATATATATATATATATATATATAGAATCTTTGGGTGAGCATTATTTATCCTTTAAGTCGATAGAGGCTCTTTGTAATTCACTTTTGGTGGAATTCTTGTGGACCAAGGACAGCACGCCATGTCACCACTATACTATATGGACATCTCAAGTCATCAAACTAAAAATTGAGGGCATTTATCATTCACATGTCATAGCGGATCATACAATTGCAGATTCACAGTGTTGTTGTTGTTATTATTATTTTTATTAAAAATCCTACTCTTTATATCAAGGATACTCCTATTTCTTAGTAAACAAAATTCATACATTTAAATTTATAGACTTCAAATCAGTGGTGTAGGCAGGAATTTCTTTTTACGAGGATAATTTTTAATTAAATATATTATAAAAAATTCATATTTAATGAATTAAGAATAAAATATAAGAAAAAATAACACATGCAGTTACTTAAATTTAAATGTTTTAATATATCACATTTGAAATATGTGCATATTTTGTATTTTATTACCAAAACAATTAAAAACTATGGGATAATCTCCCACAACATGTATAGATTGGCTACTTCAGATATATTTTAACAGACTTTTTTAGACTTGCAGGAGAAAATAGAAAGTAATTTTTTTCAAAGAAGTTGATAAGATCCCGTCCAAATCCATTAAAATGGGCAAGTTTTAGAGTAAATAAGATCGGAGACCATAAACCACAAATGAGTTGCACGCAGTGATTAAATGAGTTGCATACCAAAAATTATATTTTTCACGAATTTACTTCGTTAGGTTATATTGTATCATCTAAATGTTTATGGATGAATAAATTCTTATAAAATATTTTGATAAATAAATTAAAATGTTTATTATTATAAAATTTTAGATTGGCATCATATCGCCCTAACTTTTTGCCATGGATAGATAGATCACTGGATTATGTAAAAATAGAGTGGATAATTTGCATCAATCAAAAGTCCGTATCTTGTAACTCATTTACAATGAACTAAGATTGTAAATAAATTTGTAATGCATTTCTTTTTCACTTTCTTTCGAATAGATTATTTGTTTCTTATGATAATTATTTTAGAAGTTTATGTGCTATTCTACTAGTTAAGTTTTTGGTGTTGTTATTTAATGAAAAAAAACAAGAGTTTGTCGTTGTCGAGTTGTCTAAAAAATGTTACTGGTAAAAAACACACGTTACTTCACACAGTGTTACATACTTTTTGCCTACATCTAAATTCGAATTTTTTCTATTTAAAGATAAAGATGTTATACTATTCAGACTACATGGCTGTTACCATATGTATTCATAATACATACTTCTTCTTTTTTTATAGATAAAAACGGGATATCTTCTCAAAAATGCTATATTTATCCGAAGAAATGTCAAAAACACACATAGTGAAATTAAACTAAAATGTCTAATCATTTACTCATGTCCAAATAAAAATGTTTGGACAGAGGAATAATATTTAAAGTATATGATCAGAGTATATCCTCTCTTGACTCTCTCCTACGTTGATAAGATAAGGTAAAGGTTAGTTCAAAAAAAAAAAAAAAAAACGTAAAAGGTTAGTTGGGTCTCACGATAAAGTATCCTTGAATAGGTGTATTTCGAAAAGAATCCTTACTTTTGCAGCTAAGTCCGTCCCAACCATTCCTCTCTTTTAATTCTGTTCCTAACAATTTTACCGGATGACTATTAGACTATTACTGCTTAATTCATGCGGAGACAAATGACTATTACACTATTAGTTTTTGAGCAAGACTTATGTCTTCATTAGCGAGGATTTATATTATTTTTATTAGTAATGTGGGTCAATAATAAATAGATTTGTCATCTTTAATTACTAAATTTAATATGGTGAATAAATACCCACTTATCAAATCATAACTAAATCATATAGATGGTGATTTATTATTAGTTCATATCACTAGTAATAAAGATGGTGTAGAGGATTTAAGGATCGTTCTTAAGCATCATTCTTAGTCTATCACTGCTTAATTAATACAGAGACAATAAATATAATACTGTCACATTTTCTAAAGTGAAGAAGTGTAATAAGGGAGATTTTGTCTCACATCCCATTGGAGAAAAAAGTGATTGAGTATATATCAGTTGAATGTTAATTTCACCTAATAGCTTAGGTTTTGGAATGGGAGGGAATTACGAAGCACCCACTCGTTATAGTTGGTATTATTAAAATATATATTAGATATATATGTTATACATATATATTATATTCGTTTTTCTTTCTTTCCTCCTTAATTTATATTAGACCTGTCAATAGAGTGGATCCTGATACAGATTCGATCCGAATCTGATTCGAGTAGTCGAATATGGATTGAACAAAAAATTCGATAACTCGATTACGATCCGAATCCGATAATTTATTAACTTAACAAATCAAATATGAATTATGTTGATCCGATCCGATTAATATTATATATATGTATAATTATTTATCAATAATTTTACATATATATATCTATATATATATTTTTATATATATATCAATACTCCTATTAGAATTGTATTAGAGGTAAAACAAAAATCCAACAAAAAAAAAAAAAATCATAGTGTTATATATACAATAGTGTGGCGTTCTCATCCACATGCTAATAAATCTCATAATATACCTACTAATAATATCATACTCTTTATAATTATATATGTTAGTAAAAATGATTTTAATCCGAATTCGAATCCGATTTGATCCGAGTCCAACCTAAATAGGATATGAATTGGGACATTAAGTTCGAGAACTTGATCCAAATCCGATAATTCATTTATTTAACAAATCGGATATGGATTTGATTGATCCAATCCAAATCCGATCCACTGACATGCCTAATTTATACCTTTTGTTTCCATTCTTTCCTTATATATATGTATAATATATTATATATATTATAGATATATGTTATATTCGGTTTCCTTTATTTCTTCATTGATTTAGTTCTTGATTTATTCTTTTTGTTGTCTGCAACTTTATTTTCTATATATTATGTATCAACACAATATAAACATATCAAGAAATACAAACAATAAGAGAAATGTAGCCTCAGTGGCTCTTAATTCATGGATGTAGCCTTTAGTGTTGAACCGTGTATATACTATATTCTTAATCTTTTTCTAGTTCATCTTCCTATTTTACATCTTATATTTTTACATTTTAAAATTAATAGGTATCAAGGTCAGACTTAGTTCTTGATCCAATGCCACGCTAGGCAGGGTGGCCCGACCCTAACATGGGTGTTGCGAGTTCGGATGGGGGAGAATGTAACAAGGGGAGCTTGTCTCACATCAGATCCGGATAGGAAAGTGATTGGGTATATATGGGCTGGATATTAGCCTCACATAAAACTTAGACTTTTGGTCGGATAACGAAGTATCTACCTGTTACAACAAGTATTATGGGACAGAGGACAGGAAATCATAGAATTCCCTTATCATAAGATAAAGAAAAAAAAAAAAAAAAAAAAGAGAAAAGGAAATGATTGTAAAAATCTCTACTCATGTTTGGAAAGAAAAGAAAGAAAATGTGTAAGATAAAGGGGAGGAAAATAATAATTATCATTACCTTTTAAGTAGATGGGATATAAATGAAATTTTAGAATTATAAAAATATTATTTAACCCACTATCCTTTCGCTTTATATCTTTTTTTATTTGGAGGGATAGTACCAAATTATCCCTCATTACCCTTTATTTTCTTTCCACTAAAACCATCCAAATACATTTTTCCTTATAATTTCTTATCTTTCCCTATATTCCTCCAAATCATTCCATTCAAATGAAGTGCATGGCTTTAATTTAACCCACTATCCTTTCGCTCTATATCTTTTTATATTTGGAGGGATAGTGCCAAATATCCCTCATTATCCTTTATTTTCTCTCCACTAAAACCATCCAAATACATTTTCCTTATTATTTCTTTTCTATTCCTCCAAATCATTCATTCAAATGAAGAGCATGGCTTTAACTTATAATAATAATAAATAAATAAAGTACAAAGTGGTGCGAAGAATTAGTTTTCTTTGAGGAAAAATAGGTTATATCAATAAAATAATGGCCTATTGGTGAAAGATCGATCACATGTTTCGTGTCAAATTTGGCATATTTGAATGGATTCAGATACAATTCACGGGAAAAAAATAATTTCAAGGCCAGAGTGAATAGAGTGAATGGATAGGGTGGTTATAGGTGTGGACAATTTGAAGAGCACTATAAGCTAATGGAGTTCACGACTCTTGGGTTTATAGGTGTGGGTATAAAATTCCAGTAATGGTGGGCTTAAAAAGGACCACCAAATGGCAGGGCATGAAGGAGGGAAGAGAAGGGAATGGAAGAGAATGGAAGTCTTGTCATGCTCCAAAGGTATTTAGGTTCACAGTTTTTGTCACAATTGACTCTAATTGTCCATGCCCCTCTCTAAATGGTCTTTTCCACCACAACCATTTTTAGGGGCTCTCTCTCTCACGCACACAGATCCTGGCGTCCACCCATATGTATACAAACAGACATATATATACACCACACTATGTGATTTTTAGTAGTCAGTAGTCACCGGTTATCCCATGCACTATGATACCATCTTTTTCAATTCTTTTGTCTTCTCAATCATTTCCAACTTTCAAATTTGTACCTTCTATTGATTTCCCCACCGATGAACATGACTTCAACTAAGATCTATCTTTTTAGGTATATCTAGGGAGAATCCATCCTTTTAGTTGGAGAAAAATAAATTGAAACAAATTTCCACATCAAAATGGATGGCCTCTCCACTATATATATATTTGGATTTTATCAAAGCCCTCATCTCTGACTTACACCCATACCAAAAATATCACCCAAATTGTGCATTCCTAGAGAGTTGGTTCTCACTCACTCATAGCATCAACGAAAAGAAATTCCATAGATTAGGTTACATTGACCTCTGTTTTGATTGGGATTTCCATATATGAAAGCTTAGGAATGTTGATTGACATGCCATTTGTGTGTGAACTGATT